CCTATAGTGAGGGTATATATCACTACTGTCCCCCACACAGGGCACTTTCCCTATAGTGAGGGTATATATCACTACTGTCCCCCACACAGGACACTTTCCCTATAGTGAGGGAACTTAGAGATACATACTTGGCATCCTCTTCCTGATGACAAATGAACAGTTGACCTTGTGATCCTTCTTCCAGGTCTCCATTCATGGTCACAACATTTCCAACAAAATTCTCTGTAACAGACACCAAATATCAAAAAGTCAATTATCTGTAACAGTCGACACCAAATATCAAAAAGTTAATTCTCTGTAATGTATAACAGACACCAAATATCCAAAAGTTAATTCTCTGTAACAGACACCAAATATCCAAAAGTAAATTCTCTGTAACAGACACCAAATTTATCAAAAAGTAAATTCTCTGTAACAGACACCAAATATCAAAAAGTAAATTCTCTGTAACAGACACCAAATATCAAAAAGTAAATCCTCTGTAACAGACACCAAATATCAAAAAGTAAATTCTCTGTAACAGACACCAAATATCAAAAAGTAAATTCTCTGTAACAGACACCAAATATCAAAAAGTAAATTTCCATGCAACAAAATGTTGAAACTTGTTTTTGTTTTTTTGAATCCGACAGTAAAATCAAAGGTTGATATATTTTTTCTTATGCATTAAAACATATTTTTTAATTAGCTGATCAATCAGACAGTTGCAGTTACTTAAAAAAATATCAAAAGAAAAAATCCCAATGATTTGATTGAAGAAATTGCCATGGCTCTCATTTGATGTGCTATTCATAGCGCTGTGAAGGGTTATTTTCGCAGCTTTAGGAAAGGGCACTTTAGGCTTGGTGTTGGGAAAATTGTGTGACAGAAATGCAAATTTGGAATTTTCAGAATCAAACACAATTATTCATTTTTCTTTCTTTTGACAAAGCATCAAATCCAAAAGAATGAATACCCTTTAACAGTAAGTCCTTTTATCTGTCTGACGTGGCATTGTCATATAAAAACAGCTGAAATTTTTAAGATAAAAAAGTAAGAGACTTCGAAAACAGCACCATTATTTTCAATGGGAATTTCCTTCCGAAAGGAAGCTGAAATTGACATGATCCCCAAAAAAGTCACAGTGACGAGTCTTGTCACTCCTGACTGAACCTATTTTCCATTTGTTAATGTAATAGAATACATACTTGTGGGATTTATCCCACTAAATGAAATATTCTGGCATTTTCTGATTTCTATTGATGATATGACTATCACTAATTAACACTATACATGTATACAATTTGAATAAGACAAGCCTATAACATTCAAATCTGTGAAACTTAACTCGATTACAAATATATATATATAGTGTGTTGGTAAAGTGTATGTTACATCAATTTATTAACATATCTAACTAAAGCAAGAGTTGCTTGAAACCTTTCAAGTATTTTATATTTTTATCTTGTACAATTTTAAACACTTACTCAACAAGTTACTGTACTGTGATTTACATTATCCACAAATTATTTTGTTCATTACAATCTGAAGAAATAGCAAATTTTGTAAAATTTGAAAACTTGTCACATTAAAAGAAATGAATACTCACTAGTTGACTTGAAAGTAAGTTATCTCGCTGTAAAGGGAGATAATTGACATATTTCAAGAAATTATTAACAACCATTCTGCACAATGCTAAAAAGATCATTCATTTCATGTTTACAACTAGGTTGTGGTCTTGAGCTCATACTTATTCAAACCTGTGCTGAGAAAAAACACAATGTATAACAGTTCTGTTCCTTAATTGTTGGTGCTCAGTCAATTAAGCCACATTTTGAAAATCTTCAACTTTTTGAACATCAATTTTTTAATTATCTTTTATTGAATAATACATTACCTCAGACAAAAAATATGATAAAAAACTGTAGTTGAAAATTGGTTTATTTGAAAAATTATATTGAATGCTTCCGACTTTAACCTAACAGTAACAGTAAATCTGACCCATTCAGACAATCCTTCAAACATATTTGCAAACATTAAAGAAAAAATATTACTAATACAAATTTTCACAACTTTAGTGAAAAGGATTTCAGAGAATTTCATTTAGATAAGGAAACGGAAAACAAATTATTTGTTTATTAACAAGTGATCGCACATTTTACAAACCGATATGCAAATATATACAAAAATGTATATCAAAACATATAATAAATTTTGTGCGAATTGTAATTCTTTTATAATATCAATAAAAAGCATGTACACTGCTAAGTGTATTGTGGGGTTTGGTGGGGCGAGGCTACCATTTACTTCTTACGAACTGAGAGGGACATAGATACACTTAATAGTACATCTAATAGAATATCTAATATTGGTGGTGCCAGGGTGCCTATATATGCTGGAACAGAGTTTAAGTCCATCATGCTCTTTGTGGAAATATAAAAACACTGTGCATCATTACATTCAAACCATATGTAACTAGATTACAGGAACCAGTCATGGTACTGGGTATTTCAATTTTCTGCTGATAGTGGGATTTTTAATTTTCTGTACAATACACAGTAGTCAAGCAATTTAAGTCAAGTGGTGTATGTAGTGTGCTTTCTATGTATGAACCTGTTTCCATGACTCGCATATCTGCTAATTTTCAAGGATGTTATATCAACTATTGTGAAAATCTATAACGAATATCATATTGTGTTTCAGAAATAAAAATCAAACCTTTCAAAAAACATGAGACTTGACCTCTCCTCTGGCGGTTTGCAGATGTCAAGTTATCAAAATCTACGCGACTGCTGCACATTTCCAGATGTTACCATGCTGTCAATAATCGTCATAGTCGTAAACGTTAGACAACCAGAAATCGTAACCTACCACACACGTGTGTAATCTAGGCTGGTATTAAATACTTTCAAGTAAATTGTTTGTCTTTGCAGTCTTCGAGGCAAGCATTTGTTTACAAGTGACCGAGTTACCTGTGCGTAAAACCGGTCACATTATGATTTTTAAATGACATCTTACCGACTCTTTCTGGTATGGTATGTCCCTCTTGTATTGGAGCATCATTATCGTGTAATTCACGGTTACTGTTCATAGACATAATCAAATTTTACGAAGCTAAGACATAAAGGAGCCATTTCGACTTGGTAGCCGCCATTTTCTGTCATGACGTCACTAATATGCATACGGTCTCGTTTTGAAAACTGGGAAATACCTCTAAGGAATTCCCTTCCGGTATGGTCGAATGACGAGATATTTCACCTAAACTATATTATTCGTCTCCTCGTAATTGCTTGGCCAGGTTAAGTCTCTTCTAAAATAAGTTTTGTGACTGTTTACAATCAACAGACAAGCTGAAACGCTTTTATCGTTTAAGAATCGAACTGGGACCAGGGGTGATAGGTGCGGCACAGCTTGGAGAACGTGATTCATGTATTAACCGATTTTCTTATGGTGCCAATCAGTACGCAATACAGGAGTGTGGGAATACAATAGTTAATGTAGAAATAATATAGCCATAACATACGACTATTTCTTCATGATTTTAACTATCACTGGAGCATACTACCTCGCCCCCTTTTTCACTCTTGATTTAAATGCATACTTTTAGAATACGTGAATGAACGTAATAAAAAGACAATATTATTGTTAATAATTTATAGGTTCGATTTAGAAGGTTTTATTGCCGTCACACATGAAGACGAATTCGTTCAATCACACCACATGCATGTATGTCAGAAATCAAAATCCTGACTACAAGCACGGAATTAGATTAGTTATCTAAGTCTGTGCTACAAGTTAATAATGTATTCTTGATGCAATAAGTCGCGGGTATTATCAGCTAGACCGGAAGTTGGTACTTAAAACAGAGATGAACTCCCACAAAGTCTCCTATGTTTTTAACAAATTCCATTCTAGTCTAGTAATTTTCGATACAACTACAATGTTTGTTATGGCAATAAGGATACTTCTCGCATGAAATGATTCAGCGATGAAAGATGAAGTTAATTATAAATTACTGAAAAAATTAAGTTATTTGAACTATTCATTTTTTGGGGAAAAAGCTACCCTGTTCATTACTTAAAAAAACTTCTATGAATAATAATAAAAAGGGAAATGGGTTCGAACCAAAATATGAAAGAGAATCGAATGGACGAGGTGGAGAAGGCCACGAGTAGGAGCTGCAGATCCACCAATGTACATATGTATGTCGATTTATCAGATGTATTGTCTCAATCTAGATAGGCTTTGATAAGGACGTGTAAGATTATATCGTTGAAATCATTAAGTGGGCCCTCTCAGACGTGTGCTAACGGCCGGTTTGCTAACATGTAGACTTGATACTTTTGCCACCTAAGACACCACCGGCTATTTTCTTACCTATTTCAAATTTGTTTAAAGCATTCGATCCTCGTTAACTTAGACCGTGGACTCACAGGTTTTGAGTAATGACAAAATCGTTGGGATCTGTACCCCATTGTAATACGTGGGATCTATGTCCCCATTGTAATACGTGGGATCTATGTCCCCATTGTAATACGTGGGATCTATGTCCCCATTGTAATACGTGAGATCTGTGTCCCCATTGTAATACATGAGATCTGTGTCCCCATTGTAATACGTGGGATCTGTGCCCCCATTGTAATACGGGGGATCTGTGCCCCCATTGTAATACGTGAGATCTGTGCCCCCATTGTAATACGTGGGATCTGTGTCCCCATTGTAATACGTGGGATCTATGTCCCCATTGTAATACGTGAGATCTGTGTCCCAATTGTAATACGTGGGATCTGTGCCCCCATTGTAATACGTGGGATCTATGTCCCCATTGTAATACGTGGGATCTGTGCCCCCATTGTAATACGTGAGATCTGTGCCCCCATTGCAATACGTGGGATCTGTGCCCCCATTATAATATGTGGGACCTGTGCCCCCATTGTAATAC